GGAGAGGAGAGGAGAGGAGAGGAGAGGAGAGGAGAAGAGAGGAGAGAAACACACTGTTGTGTGTGCAGTGTAAGGAGGAAAGATGTGCACATTATAGTACATACTTCTTTAGAAAGCAAAGAGCTTAAAGTTAAGCAGATGTGACAATCTAAAACAGACTCTGGGAGTTTTCTCACTGGTTTCACCTCTACCTAAGTGTTTGCTGATGTAGCCTCTTCATGCAGCAATTGGCTACTGTGGCAAAGAACTGTGGTTTAGTCTACAGATTGGGTCACTTGCCAAACAGCAAACTTTATTTTAAAGAGCATCAGAAGTGGTACAGGAGTTTTGCCTCTTGTGTGTGAAGATCAGAACAGAGGATGAGCAACGAAGCCACTCTCTGTATTAAATGACATTTGTGGATAAAGCATGGTAGAGGCTGGCAGTACTTGTCATCAATACATAACATATGAATATAGGTTTAGGAAGGTCTTTTGGTATCAGCAGAGGAGTCTTTCCATCTTCAGTAAATGTTAGAAGGGCTGCATTCAGTTTAAAGCATGCTGCATTTAAGGACAGTGTATGTAAGCAACTGAAATTCACACCTGTCTCTTTCTACAGCTTGGAGCTAAACCATCTGCATAATAGAATCATAGAATCCTAGAATGGCCTGGGTTGAAAAAGACCACAACGATCATCCAGTTCCAACCCCCTGCTGTGTGCAGGTTGTCAACCAGCAGCCCAGGCTGCCCAGAGCCACATCCAGCCTGGCCTTGAATGCTTCCAGAGATGGGGCATCCACAGCCTCCTTGGGCAACCTGTGCCAGTGCCTCACCACCCTCTGAGTGAAAAACTTCCTCCTATCACAGTCCTTTCGTGATCTTGGATGTTATTTATAAGAGATGGGTCACCAGCTAAGTTCTGGTGAACTTTTGGATAGTAAGAACTAGAATGGAACTGTATAATTGGTTTGTTCTCCCAGCAGTGCATCAGGACCTGAACCTGTAGTGCTGACATTAGAAGTTTTTGCAAACAGATGCAAACATCACACTTTGGCATTATGTACAAGTTTTGATCCTCAGGCATTTAACAAAAGCAGACCAGGCAGATTTTAACAGAGAAATATAGCATTAATTAAGTCCTCTTCAATATCTTTATTGATGACCTCGATGAGGGCATCGAGTGCACCCTCAGTAAATTCGCAGATGATACCAAATTGGCTGGAAGTGTGGATCTGCCTGGGGGTAGCGAGGCCCTACAGAGGGATCTGGACAGGCTGGAGAGCTGGGCTGAAGCCAATGGGATGAGTTTCAACAAGGCCAAATGCCGGGTCCTGCACTTCGGCCACAACAACCCCAGGCGACGCTGCAGGCTTGGGGCGGTGTGGCTGGAGGACTGCGTAGAGGAAATGGACCTGGGGGTATTGATTGATGCTCGGCTGAACATGAGCCGACAGTGTGCCCAGGTGGCCAAGAAGGCCAGTGGCATCCTGGCTTGCATCAGAAACAGCGTTGCAAGCAGGAGCAGAGAGATGATTGTTCCCCTGTATTCAGCACTGGTGAGGCCGCACCTCGAGTACTGTGTCCAGTTTTGGGCCCCTCACTGCAAGAAAGATATTGAGGCCCTGGAATGTGTTCAGAGGAGGGCAACAAAGCTGGTGAGGGGTCTGGAACACAGGCCATATGAGGAGAGGCTGAAGGAGCTGGGAATGTTCAGCCTGGAGAAGAGGAGCTCAGGGGAGACCTCATTGCTCTCTATAACTTCCTGAAGGGAGGTTGTAGTGAGCTGGGGGTCGGCCTCTTCTCTCGTGTCATTAGTGATAGGACCAGGGGGAATGGCTTCAAGCTACAGCAGGGGAGATTCAGGCTGGACATGAGGAAGTATTACTGTTCAGAAAGGGTGGTCAGGCACTGGAATGGATGCCCAGGGAGGTGGTGGAGTCACCGACCCTGGGGGTGTTCAAGGAAAGACTGGATGTTGTGTTGAGGGACATGGTTTAGTAGGAGCTATTGGGAATAGGTGAACGGTTGGACTGGGTGATCTTTTAGGTCTTTTCCAACCTTGGTGATTCTATGATTCTATGATTCTATGATTAATGGAACAACAGGAGGTCTGTTAAATTCCACACAGTGCTACACCTTTCCCCACTCTTTGGCTCTTAATTCATTCCTCTTTATCTTCCCGGTGACTGTCTTTGGAAGCTCCCGGACAAATTCCACCTACATAAAAAAGACAGAAAATGATGTAGCATGATCTCTGCAGAGTAGCTTTTCCAAGTCTCTCAACATACATGGAAAACAAGGAGGTCTCCCATCAGTAAACACATCTTGCCTATAGGATTAAGTCCAAGCCAAATAAAGGTAGCACAGTGTGCATCTTCTGAAGATTTCTTTGGCTTCCTAGATGGTCAAACGCCAGGGGAAGCTGCCTTCTTTGACTGGGCATTGTAACTAAAGGATGAAGACTAATGCTACCTGAGAACAGAGATGAATAATGACAAAATGAAGAGAAGAGGGATGATCTTGGCATAAAGTAATGGTCCTTAGTTTCTACAAGTTCTACATATGTAAACTAAAGCTTGCTGGTAGCATTTTTCCTATAATGTTGATATTTATGAGAAACATCAAGCATATCATCACTGTTTCTTTCAGGTGAACAGTGAAGATCTAAATAATAATTTTCCTAAGATTTATGAAAGGATGTTCTGGTTTAGTTTCTCCAGAAACCATTTACCTTCCTGGGATATTTGTATGGAGCAGTAGTTTTCTTGACATGCTCCTGCAAGTCGCGGGTTAAGCTTTCATAATCACTGGATGAAAAGGCATCAGACAGGACCACAAATGCTTTCACAATCTAGAAGACAAAGTCAGTAAGAGTGATCTGACACTGTTAGTTTTGAAGAACTGATACATTAGCTACTGGTGAGCAGTTATGACATGATATGAGCTTGGAGTCATGACATGCAAGAAGGAATAAGAGAGAAACCAGAGCAGCATATGAAATGGTTGTGCCCAATTTCTGCACACTGTTAAGCTGAGGGGAAAGTTGAAAGCATAGTTTTCCTGCCCCTGTTACAGGAAAAGAGCATTTGCTCTATACCCTCACAGGGGGTCAAGAAGAAGGGGTAACAAGAATTGTCTTTGCAGAGCCTGCTGAACATTTTATCTTTCTCTGAAGTTTGCCTTACAGGTATACATTACTCAGTAAAAAAGGAACTTATTTATATACTTAAACAAACGTATGGCTTCTGCCACCACTGTGCAGCATCATTACCTCTCCTCTGAGTTGATCTGGACTGCTGACAACAGCTGTTTCTGCTACTGCTGGGTGTTCTAACAGAACACTCTCTACCTCAAAAGGCCCAATGCGATACCTGGATAAGGTAAGAACAACAAGGGATTTGATTTTGTGAGCTGGAAAACCGGTACCAAACCAGCACTGAAATAACGTTTCCTTGGCTATGATATCCTTCAATTTCAGTTTAAACTGGATCTAGATTAAAGGCCCTCCTATGCCAGTGGAAAACAGGCAGGTTGTGCTGTGCTCATGTGCTGAAAGAGTTGAGTTGCAGGGAAACCTGATACAGATACATGAGGAAGATGATAATACTGCAGGTCTAAGAAAAACTACAAATAAAAGCGAGCATTCATAAGGTGAGAAGTAATGCATTTCACCTTAAGGACCATTGTGTCATAATCACGGCAGTAACATCGCATAACAGCAGGTTTAGAATAGAAGCACACAAACTGACCCTGAAGAAATGATGATATCGTCGTCTCTTCCAATAAACCAAAAATATCCGTCTTCATCCATAATCCCTTTGTCCCCTGTGATGTAAAAATCCCCACGCTCGCTTTCTGTAGTTTTCTTAGGGTTACCCTTGAAGTGGATTACAAATAGTAATTTTAAGAATGCATCAGCTATACATTATAACACACATAATGTTAAATTAATTGGAATTTTTTTTTTGGTCAATACTCTTCAAGAATTATACTGATATTGATATAAAATACAATAAAATAGGCTTAAAAAAAACCATTCTGACTCTTGAAAAGAAACTAACTTAATCTTTGATAAATTCTTCTCTTCACCTCTCTAACATTCACCAATCCAAGCAATCATTCATTCCAACCAATCGTTCATGTTTTCTCTACATTTCTTGATCTTTTAGTCAGTCCTTAACATAAATATTTAATGAGCTTTTCAGATAGCATATGGTGCACATATGGTACTTCCCAGTGAGGTCACTGTCTGTAATAAGGATGGTAGGGAAATGTTTTAGGCAGCTTTTTCAGATCCATGTTTTAATGTTCTTGAACAAAAATCTGAATCAAATAATGGGATGAAATGTCTGGATCACATTTTTCCACTTGGAGATTCATGATCCTTGAGGTCTCTTCCAACCCTGGCCACTCTATTATTAAGTGCATCTTAGAGTCATAGAATCATTCATGTTGGAAAACACCTCCAAGATAACCAGCCTCAACCCATCCCAAAATGCCCTCTAGCCATGTCCCCAAGTGCCACATCTCCACATTTCTTGTACACCTCCAGGGACAGCGACTCCACCAGCTCCCTGTGCCAATGCATCACCACTCCTTCTGAAAAGGAATTTCGGAGATCCAGAATATCCAACCTTAAGGGGAAGAATAGCTTCCCATTAGGTCCCAGTCTGCACAGGGCATCTAAGGAGTTCATTCTGAGATTACCTCTACCAAAATATATTGCTTCTGCAGTTCAGGACTCAACAAATGGGCCAGCAAGCCTGAAAATTGGTGAAAAACACAGGGCCTCTTTAATCCCTAAGGAATTTGAGATATTCTGGGGAGATTGCTGTTGATGAGGAATAAAATACTTACTACATATTCAGTGAATAAACCAAGTGGTCTTATGGGTTTGCTTCTGATAGCAATATCCCCCTGTTGTCCAGGAGGCAGAATATTATTATCTTTGTCTACAACCTAGAATGAAAAACAACATGTACTTCAGTAAAAGCAAAATAAAATAAGAACACCCATCCCCTACCTATGGAAAAGTCTAAAAAGCAGTCAGTAAACCTGAACATCAAATGGGGGAGTGGCCTTTCCCATTGATCCGCGTTTGATCTTCATTCCTTTAGAAACAGAGCAGATTATTCCCTGTAAAAATAAAAATCAAAATAAGAGTTTGCCATAGAAAACCACTACATTCACATTCAATTCATTGCATGTATTTTCTAGAATGAAGCCAAAGGAATTAAGATTCAAAGATCCTGTTTCTGTAAAGTAGGAATGAGCAAGATGAAGAAATACTTGGAAAGAATACAATTGCATTAACTACAAAGAATTTATGTCCTCTACTAGCCCATCTTTGTTAGCTTTTACTCCCTCCTGCCACTGTCATTTGGCATCTGCTTAAGGACATTAAAGAAAATATTAGAGCACATCCCCTCCCAACAATCCCCATTTCCAAGAGGTTCTGTGAGGAGAGCCATGCACAGGTGCTTTTTCAGAGGTGATCAGAGGAGGTTACTGAAACGTTCACAGAAATGTGAAAGAAGAAATGGGCTGTTATTGAAAATAAGCACTTATGTTTCATTAAGCAAAAGGGAATAACAAAGATTTAACAGAATGTTGACACTACCGCTTCGGTTTGGCCATATATTTCATGGATGTCCAGCCCTGTCTTGTTTTTCCACTGGTCAAAGATTTCTGGGTTCAGCGCCTCCCCTCCGCTCATGCAGTACTTCAGGTTCCTGAATTTGTAACTTCCCAGAGGGTCAAAAAGCAAAGAGAAACAATTAAATCTATTGCATAAGACAAGGATTAGCAAAATGCTGTAAAATAATCCTGGAGTTCTGTTACTCGGGAAGTTCTTCCCATGAAATAGGAAAACCAGAGGATTCCTGATTCTTTGGTTCCCAATAAAGCGAGGATATCAGTTTTTGCTCAGTGTTACACACAAGTAGAGTTAAACACACATGAAAAACAAAGTAAAAGTTTTGCTGAAATCAGCTGGGATTTAAGCACTGGCTTGTAATTAACCAGGGATCAATTTGCTGAGCCAGGGGCACTACTGCCAACCCTCTGCAGCAGGCCAAGGGAGAAAGTACAGGAGAGGAGCAACCAGCAGCAACAGTTTGTTCATCAGTGAGAAACTGGAGCAGAAGGTCTGTCAGTCCCAGCAGTTATGCTAATGTTATCCAAGGGTGACTGTGCTTCCCAGAGCATGGGCAGTTAACTTGGTGATTGGAATTAGAATTTCCCAGGTGTTTAGTTTTATACCCTCTGGGATTTGCTTAGAAGTTCAGTAATGAAAAGCCTCAAATGGCTGGTGGAAATATCAAGCTTCTCTACAATCAGCAAAACTCACAAATCTTGTATAACTGTCTCTTCATAAAGGATATTTTAGACTGAATTATGACCCTATGTTGGGTAAAAAGCTGGACTGGGAAATTGCTATAACGTTTAGTTAGGGCAGATAATATCTCTTGACGTACCTGGAGAGATCAGTTTGCACCAGCATGCGGTACATAGTGGGAGCACTAATCATGATGTCAATGGGGAATCTGCAGAGAGTCTAGTGAGTGAAGCAACAAGACAACAGGTGAAACTCAGACAACAAAAGCTGTCTTCTGGATGTACAGAGCACGGGGGTGTAGGGGTCAAAGGTGGCTCTCCCGTTATGTAGAAGCAGAATGTATGTATATAGCCCTCCTACCCTTGGCATAACAGGTGAAGAATCACAGTGTTTGGAAAAAATCCCATTCTTTCTTGTCTGCATGAAACCCAGACTGCATAGACAGCTCAGAGCATGGACAGAATAAGCCTGTCTGCATTATGGAGAATGGTGTGGGTTGGAAGGGACCTTTCAGAGCATCTCGTTCCAACCTCCTGCTGTAGGCAGGGACACTTCCCATAGCCCATGTTGCTCACAGTCCCATCCAGCCTGGCCTCAAGTGCTTCCAGGGAGGGGAAGAGGGAGGGGGCATCCACAACCTTGCTGGGCAACCTGTGCCAGTCTCTCACTGCCCTCACAGTAAAGAATTTCTTCCTAATATCTAGTCTAAATCTACCCTCTTTCAGTTTAAAGGCATTTCTCCTCATCCTATTGCTACCTGCCCTTATAAAAATTCCTTCTCCAGCTTTCCTGTAGGCCCCTTCAGGTCCTGGAAGGGCTGTAACATCCCCCTGGCGCTTTCTCTTTAGGCTGAAGAGCCCCAGCTCTCTCTGTCTTTATAGGGGAGGTGCTCCATCCTCTGATCATCTTCTCTGGACCTGCTCTAACAGCTCCATGTCCTTCTTGTGTTGGGGGCCCCAGAACTGGACACAGGACTCCAGGTGGGGTTCACTTTCATCTTGGCCACCACAGGCAGAAAATAATTTTCAGTTTGCATAAATATCAGCTCATATTATCCCCCATGACTACTGGAACAAAGGCATGTGATAAGTACTGCTTCTGGGATGATTTTCCCACGTGCTTACCAGCTATGAGCAAAATGTATCAAAGTATCTTGGGACGGACCCCTTCTGTGTACATTAAAAAAGTGAGTAGGACTTTATGGAAGGATACATCTTGAATGAAACAGTGGGCATAACAGTCATTAAATCTTTCTATGCAGTTAGAAATTATTTTCTGCTCCTTTTCTGCAGATCTACACACATCCATAAGTTTTTCTTACGTTTAGGATAACTGATGGTTCAATCTGTGGGAGCTGGTGGACAAAAACACACGATCCCAAAGTCCAGGCATCAAATACAGATATCACTGAAGTTACTATCCAGCCTGTGTCTGTAACGCTCCACACTGTGTCTGACGGAGTTGCATACAAGGAGGACCTAGAAGCAGGAAAAAGAATTAAAAAAATAAAAAGGAAATGATAACTTTGGTTTAATTAAAAGAAAAAAAAAAAAAAAAAAAAGCAAAAGGAAAGCAAATGAAACCAAAGGGTCACTGTTCCCCACTCCTTCCGTAAAAAACCCCAAATATCCAGCAACCAGCAATGCCAATAGAAAACAAAAATCAAATCCAAGATGGCTAATGAGATGTGTGGGCTCTGGGCGCTCTCAGTAAGTTCATTTGTTCATCCTACCTCAGGAATGAAAGGACTTCTAAGGTTTAAGTATTTGTACAAATAAACACATATATGGTAAAGATAGGAGGTCATTCATAACATAGGATTCAATAAAGGAAAGAATTGCAATAAAGTGACTTTTCTTGGGGAGGAAGGTAGGACTGAAGCAGAAGCGTGTGGATTCTCTGTTGAACACCAGGTATTTCACTTCATGTCTGCTGAGGGATCAGGCTGATCTGTACAGCCAGCATCACCTCTCACTCTGTTCATCTACACACATGACATAATTTTTGCAGCACAAACAGCGTGATATCCTTGGTTTTGCACTCTAAAATATTCCCAGCTTGTGTCTGTCCTTTGAACCACTCTAAAGAAAGACTGGAAGATAGTCATTGGAAAATGGAAACTCTGGGGCTGATCCTACTTACATGGAAATCTGTCAGAGTTTCTAACCTGATTTCTGGGGGAGAAGGACTGTAGCCTTACATCTGAGTAACTCAGGAACTTTCCATCAGTTGTACTGTGCAGCTGTGCAGCTCCAATTAACAACCAGGCTCGAGCCTTTCATACCTTTCATATAACAGGGGTCTAAAACCAAGGCTGCCCTGGGAATGTTCAGTCATCTTTGGAGAACCTGTGGTTCCACTGGTAAAGTAGATAATCATCGAATCTTGAATCCTTGTTTTGACACAGGAATGTTCAGCAGGCTGGGTTCTGTAAGGCACAGAATGCAATTGGTGACTTCAGTGATTACATGGGTTTCAGAATGTAAGCTTTGCAGAAGCCTTTCACCAAATTAGACTGAAACTGTGTAGAACTGCGCTTTCCTCCATGACAAGATTCCACTTAAGAAGGACAGGGCAGAAACTTCCTGGAATAAAACTGAAGACTCTTGGTAAACAACTGCTCTCAGCAAACAACTCTGATGTGGAAACAGTAATCAGGCAGTCATGAATTCGCGCCACTAAAGCTTAGTGTTGGCGTTTGATGGATATTCACAGTTGATGAATACTTGTAAATGAGCATTTGTGGAGAACAGGTCTGCTTTCTGCATCGTGACTGTAATGCTGCTCATGCATACTCACTTGTACAGTTCATTGAAGTTCAGCCATCCCTCCCTACTGTCTTTGGACACCATCAGCTTGTTTTTAAGATACTGGCACTCAGATGCAACTGAGTCTACTGCAGGAGCCAGTGTGTCGGTGGTGATGATGCACTTGGCCTTTGAAGCCTGGAGTCGATATAATATGTCTTTGGCTGATAATTGGGATGTTCCTGGAATTAAGACAATTCCTGGAAGAGCAATATGGTTAATTTAGGATAACATTTTTTACATCCAATCTTTTCCTAAGAGTCTAAACTAACAACTATTCCCAAACTGACCTCTGGATGGATTTGCCCTGACATTCCCAAGTCAGTTAATGTTGGAGTAATGCAGCTGCTGTGCCCTCCTGTAAGAAATCAGAGGTGGACCTCTCTGGTGACTCCTCAGCTCTCCATGCCCCTAGGCCACCTGCTCTACGGCACCTACTGCAAATCCTTCAGGGCAGTAATTGGTAGCTAGGCAACTTGATTATTAATTTACATTACTTCTCCTTTATAAAGGATTCTGTATCCTCTGAAAAGATTTGCATTAAATACCAGTTTTACTGATCTCAGATATGCTCACTTACCTGCTCGAATGCAAGCCATATTCACCAGCCACCACTCCGGGATTCGTGGCAGAACCACAATGACTCTGTCCCCTTTTTGCAGTCCACATACTTTGGTCAACATGTTGGCCACTTTCCGAGAAAGGAATCCCAGCTCCTCAAAGCTCCATTTTACTTCTTCTCCACTACCACTTACCCACCAAAAAGCAGAGTTTGTTGGTCTTTTTCCAGCCTAAAAACCACAAGGATTCCAAAGAAACCCCAATTTCTGAAGACTTCATAATTATAAAAGCACAAGTATCTGCGAGTTGTGGAGGATTCAGGTGTTTTCAAACTTGCATATGAGCCATTATTTTCCTTTGTCCTTAGGGAGTGCAAGACTCTCTATGAATCATAGTCAGATATTCCTAACAAATTGCCCTTTTCTAACCTGAGGTGTTCACCATTCTGTGCATCTCCAGACTCAAGTAATCTGAATTCTATTCCTGTTTAAGCTTGGAGCATTATTTCTCTTAAGAAGGTAATGGGCAACATGAAATACTTCACCTAACAATTGTGATATTCTGAATGGAGTTGTGGAATACTAACAAACAGAAGCTACCAGGGCAGAGGGGAAAATAAATCAGGAGAATGCAGTAATCCAGGACAAGCCTGAGAGCTCAGGGAGAGGGAGTGAACAAAGCAAGAGGTCGTCAGTGACACGACAGCTGGACAAATGCAGCCTCTGCTTTGGAGCAAGCCAATTGCACACTTGTGGAAGAAAATTCCTTGTCATGCAGTATTATTGCTATGCTACTCTTGTTTTTATGATGTAACAGCTAATATTATGGCATGCAGAAGAAATAAGCACAACCAATCCAAGGATAGATCAGGGTCATGAGGGTCTTATCATGGCTTTTTCCACCTACACATGGAGCACCAAGGATCAGAGACACTTGTAATAAATGAAGCAAAAAGAAATGAGATCCCACATCATTTCCTGATGCATATTGTTTTTAGCAACTGATTATTTTTTTAATAAAAAGAAGTTATTACTTTAAATTAATTAAAGGCTCTCATCTGCCCAACAAAAGATCACCTACCTTTTCAATCTCAGCCCATTTGTCCACTACATCACTTGCAAAGTTAAAGTACTTTGGTATTTCCTGTTCACCACGCCTGACAGATTCGTACTGAGAGTGCACATCAGAGACAAGCAGCCTGGGATGCCTATGGAAAGTCCTACAAGGAGGTTTCAGAGTCCACAACGATTTTAGAGTCCGTAATTTACAAATCTTCATGGCAGGATATAAATGGAGATGCTGTAGACTGCGTAAGAAAGTTAATGGCATCATTGCTATTGATTTTCTGTAACAAAAATAATGAAAAAGAGAAACACTATCTTGAAATTAACCAGACAAAGAAAGATAATTCTATTATAAATTGATTAATTATTAGTTGAATTCACTTAGACTATTCACAGCAAAACTGATGTTTAAATGCAAAGTTCCCCAGCATGCTTTCATGTATTTTGTACCAACAGCTTATTAAGGACTTAAACTACTGACATGATCATATTGTCTGTAGCTTGGCTGATCCATACAGATTATAGATTAGTTCTTCAAGGCTGCTAACATCACCGACATGGTGGAAGGACATTTGTTCTTACACCAGAGCACTTGGTATTTGATTTTCTGAGATTCTTCTTGTTTCACATGGAACTGAGGGATGTTTCCAGTTTCCATTTGGTCATTTGGTCATTTGGTCATTTGGTTTGTTTAAACATCCTCCCTCTTCTATCTGTTCTCACCACTAGAATCATAAATGATCTGCAGTCTAATGAATTGCTTCAATTTTATTGCTATTCTTTTTTCTTTTTAATTTTTTTTTTAAATTTTTTACCATTACTTTCAGTAACCTAGAAGATTGCTTCAGAATCTTGCCAAACAATGATGGAATGCTGTTTAGAGGTGCCTGTTGAGCATACATGAACACTATCCAACTTGGAAAAAAACCTGGTTTGCCTCTGGAAGAGTCTGCAGAAATAGCAGGGGACAAGGCAGTCTATGATGATTCTGAAATCTGTTCCTTTCTATTGATTTTCAGCTGCTAAATATAAATTACTAGTCATGTTACAAGCTTAGGTGAGTGATTGCTGATATTCAAGTCATTTTCTTTCCTATTCTTACAAAGAATGAAGCCATCAACCAGCTTGGAAAAAATAACAAGAAAGCTTTTGATTAATTTCTGGTCCACATGAAATGTGTGACCTGAGTGAAGCTGCAAAAACAGTGAGTTTTGCCCTTTCTCCCATGTTTTAAGTTAGTTTTGTATTCAGTTTATATTGTCCCATATCTACAACCATAACCTCTGAAGTACTGACCACGATTTTCATAAAAAAAAAAAACATTATTCCTCATGACAAAATAAATATTTTAACAGCAGAATTCTTTCTTTTTTTTTATTAGTAGGAGCTGGTAACAATCACATTTGATCTTCCTGTCAGGAGGGTGAACTCAGATACCTACAGCTTGCATAACTTAATCTTTTCAGTGAGATATGACAGCTCAAGAAACTCTGTGGGCTGGATGCAGAATGCTTCAACATCTTGTTATGATTGTGATCTTTGGTGAAGCAAAGAATCTCATGACGGTATTCAAAATAAACAGAAATGTGTTACTGGGTAGGCAGTACAGGAAACTGTCATGCATTTACACAATGCCTGATGGAGTGTTATGCACCGTTGCCACATAACAACATTCAATGACCAGTAATGTCGTTCATTATCATTGCTGGGAGATGGTAATACCAGAGGTCTTGAAAAGAATTACCAGTTGTTCACTTCTAACTTGCTGAGTGAACGAAAAATGCAGGAAAATTTTTAACCTGGTGCATTTAACCCATTGCCTTTAACCCAGAGTAATAAGCAAAGAGGCAAGAGTGGACAAAGAGAAACATGGTCTTGGCATCAGTGACTGGCAGGAAAGGCTGAGATGGGGCTGCAGGCATTCCCCTGACTGGTCCACCTTCAGCTGCAGGTCTGCCTCACCCCAGTGCTATCAGAGAAATAATCCAGGAGGGCATGCATGTCCAATCTTTGGGCTTGCCAGGGCCACATTGAATGAGGAAGAAATGTCTTGGCCAAAAGTAATGCCTCCAATTTATTTTCATGGAAACTACAGCAGATACAATGAGCACAGCAACTCTGCTTGATAGAATTACATATTTTTCTCTGTAAACAGGATTGTGTTTTGGCAGTGTATCAGAATGCATACATTTATTTGCCATAACTTGAGATGATGATATATGATTCTGTGTCCTTGCATGCCCTTTTCCAGCATCAGTTGGTAAAACAGTGCTCAACTCAACTAATACATCCATTAAAAATGAATAAAATCAGGTTCACAGCAGTAAGAGGATGTTTCCCCTTGACAGAGAGAATCAGGTTCCCTAATGGGTGCTTGAAAGGGAATGGAAAGCAAATCTGATTAAAATCCAGTACATGCATTCTGATAACTACATATATACTCCAGAGGGATCATGACAAGCAACAGAAGAGCCATGCTATCCTCTTCAGAATTAGGATTATAGAGGAGAAACTTAGAATCTAGGTGGTAATTGCATTTAAAGTCAAAATCCTATTAACAGGGATGTGATCTATTCCAAAAATCTAAAAAGGTTTTACTTGTGAAATATGGCCTTTTAAATATTTCCTAAATTCTACTTAAAAAAAAGGATATTAAAGATTTTTTAACATAATATTCTATGAAATATGTTTTTGTTTTTCTTACTTAAGAAAACCACTTTCAGTGAAAAATAGCAAGCTTTGCATTAAATGTAACTTCTCTTTGAGATATGACCACTATCATTAATGCTGAAAACCAATGGATCTACTTTCAGCCCTGTAACACAAACACCTAATAATTTAGATTATTCTTTTTAATATAACAGTAAGCTGTAATATCATAGTGTGCTCTAATTCTGTGATTTAGCTAAAATCTGTAGATTTAAGAGCATTGTAAGAGCAAAATACACAGTGGGTAGAGAGGAGACTACAGACATTCAGGAGCACTGTTCAAGTTTGGACAGAGTATTCAAAGCTGACAAAGTGAAAGAGACTTTAATTGGAGGATTCCCTGGTGGTCTGCCAGAATTTACATTAAGTTTTGAAAACAAAAGAAAATTGACAGAAGGATACAGTAATGAGAAAGTATTTTGAATTGCTGCTGGAATCAGAAATCATTTTTCCTGATTAGTACCAATTGCTTCTCCTTGGTGTCGCGTCGTTAGAACTCGAACAACATGTTTCACCAACCTGTTTGCTCTGGGCAGCGTGGATGGGTTGAGCTGCCTGCAGTCGATCCTCTTCACTGGTTCATTCAGCTTGCAAGACACGCTTCCCAAAAGGCACTTTGGGAAGACTGGCTGGAGATGTGCAGCTCAGACGTGCTAATTAAGAAGCACTTGGAGTGATGGCCCTTTACCAGTTGCTTTTTTCAAAGTAATCAGAGCAGAACATAGAACAAAACTGACCAGGCAGTGTAATAATTTCTAGAGTAACCTTTCTCCTTGTAATCATTTACACCATTGTCAATCAATTTGCACCTTAGCCTAAAGAACTTTGTATATTCTTTTCTTCCATTCTAACCATCTGGGAAGATCACAAGTTCATCAGAGTGAGAGATAGTCACACAATATGTCCTTCTCCTTCCAAACAGAAAGAGTTTGGGAATAGGGAGAATATTTAAAGAGTGAATATCATTTCATCACTGCTTGTACTCATTACAGGGCAGAGATTATTTTTATTAATTTCTCATTTATTTGTAATTGTCAAAATTGCTGTGGTCCTTTATTTTTTTAAAGGAATCTGATGTTTATATTAATTGCAGTAAAAAAAATTAAACTTCCATGCAGTCTTGGATCACTCTCTTCTCTCTCATACCACATTTTTAATTATTTGTGCCTTTTCCCATCTGAATAATTGTGGGTTGATTGTAGAAGTGGTGCTTATATCACACATCCCCAAGTTATATGAGTGGTGCCTCCATTTTTGCCTCCCGCAGCTTGTTCTTCCATGCATTCTCTTGGTGCTCTGGTTCATGATAAGGTGCCAAGTCCAAACACTGTGCCTTGGCTGACATGGATGATGGAAATTTTCTCTCCTCCATTTTCAGATAAAGTTATGCTTTTCCCCACTCTTTGTTTCTTAGAACCTTTCTCTGGATTTTCCCTGTAGCTGTCTTTGGCAGAGACTGAACAAACTCCACCTGAGTGACAAAAAATGCTTGCTTTTAGCCAAACACATTGTGATTAATCTTGGATATGCAAGGAAAGACACTCTAACATTATGGTGAGGGTAACAGGATGCAAAGCTGCACAGCTTGGAGCTGGGATGGTGAAATTCTTTGCCGCATGTCTTACTTGCTCTGCACTGGCTGTATTTGCTTGCAAGAGCAAGTAAAATGATCCTGGAGAAGAGTCTGCTTCAACTATTAGGAAGGAGAGTCGTGAGTGTTCTCCAGACGTGATGCCAGCAGAAATTTCTGCTTTGTTTTGACTGCATCTGAACACAGCTCGGGGAAAGAACTGATAAGGACAGAATGCTTTGTCCAATTGAGTTTCTGTGAAAACCCTGCTATTTCAGGAGCTGGGCTCTGATATTACCATTTCCTCTTTCTTTTTCTTCCCCCCCATCCACAGAAGAACAGCAAATCCAAGGCTTCAGCTGCAACACATTCTCTAAAATATTTTTATACTGGAAGATTTTGTCAAAAAGTAGTGGAAAAGAAACAGGGGCAGGACAAAACCAGTTCAATGTCTGACGTAATTAGAAGACCTGGCTCTTTATGGCGTACTTACCTTTCTGGGGTACTTGTAAGGAGCAGTCACCTTTTTGACATGTTGCTGAAGATCATGAGTTAGTTTTTCTGGGTTGTGTGATGCAAAAGCGGGAGACAAAACAACAAAGGCTTTGACTACCTGTGCCACAAAAGTGAAAAGACTCTGTTAACTTCTAGATGTGGTAATTAAGGGATTGCTAAAACTGAACACCAAAATACAAAAATGTGAGTTTTTTTCTTTAATCTCGCCTATTCTTGGCTGTTTATTACAAAATTAGTTGTAATGAATGACATATATTGAAGCATGGGAATGTTTGCTTTTTCTTTCCATGTTTTTCTTCTTCTTAACTTTTATACACTACTAAACTTTCCAAAAGTTTTAGAGCAGAAAGCAGCTGAATATTTCATCTCAGATCTCAAAGATGCACTGCTGAGCTGAAACAACAGAACCAAAACAACCCCTCGGTGTTTATCACTGCCACCAAGTGCTTGGTGACAGAATGCAAGGAATTAAATCTCAAACACTATTTCTTAGACAAAAAAAATGCCACAATAAATCTGTTTTTCCAAATGAAACCTTGCTACCAGGAAAATGCTGAAAATCACAATCTATTAAGGCACAGTTTTTAATTTTTAATCCATTTTAATTTCAAAATCTTCCCAAAAGAAGTCCACTATATGCAGAGAACTCGATGCTTAGTATCAAATACATTTCTTTCCATATCTGTACCTCCCCTCGAATTGGATCAGGACTGCTGACAACAGCTGACTCTGAGACTGCTGGGTGTTGTATTAATGCACTTTCAACTTCAAATGGACCAATACGGTACCTAGGAGAAAAATCCAGATACAAAAGCCACAGCCAACCTGCCATTGCACTGGTTTTTTCAGATCGATTTTTTAAATAAAAACAGATCATTAACAGGTAAACAATGGAATCTAAAAGCAGGCGACTTACCCAGCAGAATTAATTATATCATCAGATCTTCCAACAAACCAGACGTATCCTTCTTCATCCATAATCCCTCTGTCCCCAGTGACATAGAAGTTTCCAGTCATGCAGGCAGCAGTTTTCTCTGGATTATCCTGACAACAATCAATAGTAAAACAAAGAATGTGATCAGGACTATTTCTTAAGCAATTCTCATAGCAGTATTTTAATACTATTTTATGAGTTAGGTTTAAAAGAAAGTCACATTAATTAGCAGTCTTTCATTGGAAGTATGTGAGAAGCGGAAAAGAATATTTGTGTGTCCATGGATTCATGTTCCATCAAAATGCTCATTTATCACAGTATTTTGCTAAAATGTGCAATCCACTCTCTTCAGATAAATGTTTTCTTGTTTTTTTCTTGCAGGGGGGCTCCGCAATGACCTGTCAATAGAAACTTTTTACCTCTATCTTTCAAGACAAAAGCAAAACGAGGTGACCTACAGCAAAAACATCATTAACTACACTGATCTATTGGATGAACGTTATACAAGAAGAAAAAAAAAGTTTGAGAACTGAAAACTTGAGTGTTTTTAATCCATAATTAATTTCTGGGAGTTTTTATTAGGGGATGCTACAAATACCCAAATATTATGTGAGTTCAGAAGAGGTTGAAACATATAGCTAGGTTCCTCAAGGCTTATTCAATGTGATGGTCCAAATGCAGCAAAGAAAATCTACTATGGTCAGGTACAGGTGTGGAACAAGCTACTTCTGCTTCATGCTGCAACTTGCAGTTATACTCTGCCAGTCTGTTCTTGATCAGATGTACTGGTCAGGCTCAAAGCTCTCAAGCCATGTAGAGAGGCTCTGTGAAGATTCTGGATGAAATTCTGCTCCTCAGTAAGTTTGCCCTGGGTCTCTCTTGAGCTTCTCAGCAGGCACAGGCAAGCAGAAGAACTCAAGCTTACCAAGTACTCAGTGAACATACAGAAGGGTCGTGACGGTTGAACTTGGATAGCAATGTTGCCTTCTTCTCCTTTAGGCAGAACAGCCCCATGGTCATCTATGATCTACAGGAAGAACAGAACTACAGAATAACCTGAGTTGTAGGAGACCTCCAAGGATCAAGTCCAACTCTTGGCTCACATGGCCTGAGAGTGTTGTCCAAATGCTTCTTGAACTCAGGCATCCTGGGGCCATGACCGCTGCCCTGGGGGGATCTATTCCACTGCCCAACTACCAGTGCCCAAAGGGACGTGTCATTACAGCACTGATTAACTTAATGAGATATCTGTGATGTAACAGTGAACAACACACAGGGACTCGGCGTTCTAACGCGTGTGCCCACAACCACAGCTGAGCCCAGACGTAGTGTATCAACATACCTGCACATCATAAGGTGGAACAGCTTTTCCCAAAGAGCCAGGTTTAATTTTCATTCCTTTCATATTGGCACATATTGTTACCTGCATAATAGATAAATAAATATACACACATATGTATACATATTCATATTTCTGCAGCATTTTGTAGATTTTATTATGGCCTTGCATTAGGCATGTTGCCTCTTCATGACTTTGTCATGACCAGGACTGAATGAGGACCAAAGCACCATGGTTCTCCATCACATCAGCGAAGGGTCAGCTGTGTGGAATGAGGTTGTTTTTGCCCAGACTGAGCCAGTGGATTCTTCTGTAAACACTTGAATTTGCAATCCAGCAGAGACAAAGCAGCAGAGACATCGCATATCTTATTTCAATAATGGGACAATTAATTTGGGACCATCTCGAGGGTAAGTAGAGAGAATGCCTGAAATCTGATTCTTAATATCTTTGTTATGTTTGCCTACAGAGTCAGCAGGAATGTGAACTGATTTAATACTTTCCATCAGAAGCTCAGATGAGCCAAACTGATACTCAGAGCAAATTAATTGTTGTTTTCCCTTCTGAAGCAAAGACAATGAAGGGATCTACTACAAGTTATTTTGCAGGGAGTTTCTTTTTAAAAAAGTTCATTTGAACGATTCTCACTTTTCCACTGATTAATCAAAGCAGACTGTGCCTCGGGTGTTGTTACCTTTGGGATGGCATACTGCAGAAATTAATACAAACATACTGTTTCAGTCTGGCCATAGCCTTCATAGATATCCAGCCCTGTCTGGATTTTCCACTTCTCCATCACTTCAGGATTGAGCGGTTCTCCTCCACATACACAGTGTTTCAGAGTCATGAATTTGTAGCTTCAGAAGAATAGCAAATAAAAGAGTTTTCTTAATTTTTGAAAATAGCAGTTGAATGATCTGACCTGGGGAATGTGCCTCAACTTTCAAAGGAAGTATGCCTAACACTTCACAAGCTACTTTGGAAATGACTACAATACTTCGGTCACACTATCCTTGATTGGACTCCTAGATTGCTCATGTTACAACTGAGGGGATTTATCTCTGTGTCTGTAGGAGCTGGTTAAGGACAAAAAAAAGTGTTTGCAAATTTTCTTGGAAGAAGAGTAAACAAAAGCATTTCCTCAGGAGTAGAACAAGAAAAGAATTATCTGAACAAACATGTCGGGTGTTGTTGGAAAGCTGAATTAGGTGGCTGTGTCCTGGCAAAATAAGACAAGGAGTACATGAGAAATGGTATGAAATCTCCTTACAAACCACACTGACTACTCATAAGCTTAAATATTTTACAGTGCAACAGACCAGTGGGAACAGCTGCCAAATAACTATCAGCATGTCAAAGTCCTCTAAATCTTTGTCCTCAAGGATACAGCAGTGACTTCATTGTACTCCAGCAGCTCCTTGATCTGGTGCTGTCTGAAATCCTCCTTGACTTAAATTTAACTGTGAGCCATAAGTTTGGTTTGACACCTTAAAAAAATATGCCTAATTTATATCTAATAATTTTAATCTAATTTCCTATGTGCTCTTTTTTCAGAGATTCCCTTCTGAAGCCTGAATGGATCAAGGTGTGAATACTTATTCTCCTTTTCTGGAATATAGCCCTCTCTTCTGAGAGCAAGGCTTTCCTTTAGTTAGCTTTCCTTTAACTGAAAAAAAAACAAACCTAGCATAAGTAACTAAACGGCCAGTGCTGTCATAGCATTATATCCCAGCCCCTACTACCCCTGCAACACACAGATGTGCAGTACCTGCTCACATCATGTTGGATAAGCATGCGGTAGGCAGTGGGGGCAGTGCAGAAAATAGTGATAGGGTATCTTGAGAGAGTCTAGAAAAAAAAAAAAAAAAGAAAAAAGGAGGTGATTTTATTGAAAAGAAAAGGTAATAGTGGCTCTGACTTAGTATATATCATGAGATGTTAACATGACTAGAGGGAATGGCCTCATGCTGTATCAGGGGAGATCTGAGTTGGATATTAAGAAAAATTTCTTCTCCAAAAGAGTGGTCAGGTGCTGGAATGGGCTGCCCAAGGAGGTGTTGAAGTCACTGTCCCTGGAGGTGGAGATGCGGTACTCAGGGACATGGTTTAGTGGGAAATATTAGTGGCAGGTGGATGGTTGGACTGGATGATCTTGGAGGTTTTTTCCAACCTTGGTGATTCTATGATTGTATGACTTCTGTGCTAAAATGTTTGCAAAATGAAACCCATAAACATGTGATATGTTTAACATGGAACAAATCATGAATGAATGAAATACTCTGAGCATAGAGTGGTTGTATCAGTCAGGGCTGATGTTAGAGAAGAAATACAATGCTTTCTGTCCAACAAAAATCATTCGTAAATGAATGACCACTGAGTGCATCTGGTAGTTCCATGTAAGATCATTTTCTGCTTCCCAAGGTGATTGTCCTAGACCCAGAGTTAAGTGACAGTAGTGAACTGAGATGAAGCTTTTCCAAGTTTATTCTTGGGGCAGTCTGGATCTCCTCTCCTACAAGAGGCTGATGTTGCGGAGAAAGTTCTAAATAGCACAAACCCAGTTCAGGCCCATACTCTACTCTGATTACTGACCAATGCCCACCTTCTTCCCAGAGTGCCCAGAAATCCATATTCAAATTTCATTTTAGGCTAAGCATGGGACAGGACAGGAGTGATCTTAAGTTAATTCTGTCCTGCATCTTTCACCACCACATCTCTACCCTATAGCCTAACCAGGAAGGAAAACACTTGCTCCTCTTTTTTACTGTGCACCATAAGGAGGGGTAACTTGTCAGATGTGGGAAGCACCATGCCTGCTGCTGAAGAACGCTGTGTAGGTATGCTCTGGAATCCAGTTTGTTTGTTTCATTTATGCTAGCTGGAAATAAAGCTCACAGCATGAAATGTTATGCTTACTTCTGCAATGACTGTTGGTTTAAACTGTGGCATATTGTGAACAAAAACACAAGATCCACTGATCCATGGTGCAAAAATGCTGCTCCAAGCTGCCTTTACCCAGCCAGTATCAGAGGTATTCCACATTATATCTGAGGGAGTCAAGTTCATCCAGTACCTGATAAAGCAGAGGGGAAACATAAATGGCTCACACAGCATGAAAGACTTGATTTAAGCCCAAGTCACAGCACAATTAAAGGAAAGGACAGGAGGCTTCCATTAAAAAATCTGGTATCAGCAATTAGGGCTCCTTAGAAAGTTTGTAGGAATTTAAGATTTGAAACATTCTCTTGTTTCCATTCATTTCCTCCCGATTAACATTTCCAGTGTCTGTTTTACCCCTGAACAGCCCAAAACAGCCCTGGAATGTGTTGTGTAATTGGATTCAAATGAAAAACTGGTCATTTGGAGTGGGCTTTTCTCACCCTGTGGATTGGAGACATCAGCCAAACCACAGGTTATTTCTCTAGGAAAATAACCAAGTTAGTTCTGTTAACTCCACGCTACCACCTTTCAACACAGAATGCCTAAGGATATTTATCTTTTATTTTTCACAGAATTTCTCCCTTCATGTTAAGTACAAATGAGAATGATGTTCAGTGGAGGTAAATAAGTGTCCAACTAGATTCCGAATGATCTGTGACTTTTCAGATGCTATGATAAAAGGCTTTTGGTTCTCAAGGAAGGCTTACATAATACTGAAGAACTCAACTTTATCTGGTTTGGCTACAAGGCTATCCTGACTGCTGCTCTGCAATCAGCCCTGTGAGTGATTAAACACTGTGGCTGATATTTTCAACTGAGTCTACAAAAAACTTTTAATAACCACTGTTTCACCCTGAGAGAAAAAAGAGGAGGAAGAAGATCCCACACTGATGTAACGCCTACATTTAATGCAGTTTTTAGTGTTAAGTTTTAAAAAATAATAATTCTTTATTGTGAGGGTGACAGAGCCCTGGAACAAGCTGCCTGGAGAGGTGATGGAGTCTCCTTCTCTGGAGATATTCAAAACCCAAGTGGGTGCTTTCCTGTGCAACCTGCTGCAGGGAACTGCTTTAGCAGAAAGTGTTGAACTAGGTGATCTCCAAAAGTCCCTTCCAGCCCCTGTCATTCAGTGATTATGTCAGTTAATCCAGACATTGAGAGTATCCAGGAACAATACCTGCTACTAGTTGCAAATCCGATGCCATAACTGCTGTGGGACTGAACCACCATTTTTGGAGAGCCTGTACTTCCACTAGTAAAATAGATGAGCATTGGGTCTTCATTTCTTGTCTTAACGCATTTGTGGTCAGCAGAAGTTACCCTTCAGAAGAAATAGTACATGATGGTTATTACACGTACATTTTCCACAAAGGAAACTTTATTTTTTAAGATTTAGGAGTTAAGAAGGAAAACAGTTGCACTAAAATATATGATCTCACAAAATAAATAGTTGCATCAGAAGGTACATGTATGAGTTAGAGAGCAGATTTTGATAATCACATTCGTGTTCCATACATCATAATTCTCACAATGTGAAAACCTAGAGCCTATTCCAGTGACTGCCTGCAGATATATTTCAGTGTCTCTGAAAGCTTTTTGTGGAACAGCAGGTAGCTGCAAAGCCAACTTCTGCCTCAACACATGCCATCTCCCACTTCGAAGTCAATGGAAGCCATATTCATTCTATGATGCCAGACAAGGTGCTCTTAGACACACATTATACTACTGAAGTTCAAGATGCTGATGAACTATCCAGACTGCCTGAGCTATCAAGATAGTCAAGGGAAGAAATAGCTGATGCCACGCCAGCTGGGCAACAAGAATTGGCAACAGTTGTGTTATCACAGAATTCAAGAGCCACTAGGCTGGGATCTAGTAGAGAAGCACAACATGACTTCAAGATTAGTAGCCTGTGCTCTTATGTTGCGATCACAATTGTCAGCTTCTAAAAAGGTCTCTGCTTCCAAGGTGCTAAGTAAGGAGCAGCTCAAGGATCTGATTCCAGCTCCCAAGAGGTATGCTGGAGGGATATGTACTTAATGTAGTGGCAACAGTGAGTTGGCAGAGGGCTGGATAAACATAACTCATCTGTATTTTGGAATGTCAAAACTCAGCAATGTCACCTGACTGACACAGTTTCCTTTATTTCACAGAGATGAAGCTAAGACAACTGGATACTCACGCACAGAGTTCTCTGAGGTTGAGCCACCCATCTCTGTTCCCTTTCGCTACAATTAGTTTCGCTTTCAGAAACTGGCAGTCAGGCAAGATAGATTCCACTGCAGGTGCCAGGGTATCGTTGGTAATGATGCACTTGGCCTTTGAAGCCTGGAGTCGGTATAGAATATCTTTGGCTGTTAACTGGGATGTTCCTGGAATGAAGACAATTCCTGGAAAAAAAAGCAACAAAGAATTTGGAAAATGGTCCAATTGTCTTTATGATGTTTGTACAAAATGATAGTGTCGAATAAAGACATTGTTCGTCTTAGTAAGGAATTAATACCTCCAACGTGATACAGAGCTCAATAGATTGAGCTCAGGTGGCTTACGAGCATTGCTCAGTCAACATCTCTGTCTAGCTTGGATTAATTTTGTAGCATAAACAAATGTGAGTTTGGATAATGGGCAGAATGTGATTGGTATCACAGTTTCAGAGGGGGAAAAAAAAAAGAATTTCCTGGATTTCTATACATCCTTTTCCCGAGAATTTCAATAGTCTGAACATACATGATTGATTTCAGTCTTGTTGCACCTTCAGAGGTGTCTACCAAATTTTTCAATTGGGAAACTGAAGAACTGAGCTACAGAATACATAATACAGAAAAAAAAAAAACTTGGATACAAAAGAACTGGGTTCCCTGAGCCTCAGTACCATGTGCAATTTGCAACAGAGCAAACAATACAAAAGTGCTTGTATGTGTCCCTGTTGATGCTGAATTATTCTATCATGGATGTTTTGCAGACTGAAAAGGTGATGGGTCAAATTCTTCTGAAGAATCTGTGGAAATAACAGCAGAGCAGAAAAGTACTGTACTGAATTATTAACTATTATTGTCATTAGAACTGTCCATACTGATAACACGTCTGGTCAAATCTGGCCTCAGATTGTAACCATTCTTCCTCCACTGCCTTCAACTAAGGATGGCATTTAATTGAGCAAAGTCTGTTCAGCATCTAGTTTGCAATGTTATTTAGGCTCCTGTGTGGGTACTGCCAACTCTCCTGTATAAAAGGAGAATTGTACAGAAAAGAATGGGTAATTCCCACGTAGTGTTTCCCTTTCCCCTCGCTCCCCCTTTTTTTTTTTTTTTTTTTTTTTTTTTTTTTCAGATTCACAGAGCCATTTTTTCACATCTGTTTATTTTCTGTATTCTTTCTGTGTCTAAAAGATAAGACAACTCACCTGCCCGGATGCAGGCTATACTCAGTAGCCACCATTCAGGGATGCGAGGCAGAACTGCCAGAACTCTATCTCCTCTCTGCAAACCACATGCCTCAGAAAGTACGTTAGCTGTTTTCCTGGACAGAAATCCCAGCTCTTCAAAGCTCCACTTCACCTCCTCCCCTTCATCATTTACCCACCAAAAAGCTGGATTTGCTGGTCGCCTTCCATCCTGGAACATAGCAGTAGAACATATTAAATAAAATGACAAACCTTGAAAGGTTTAGTTTCAATCAAAACTAGCTCCAGACTACACAAACGGTCTTTGGTAATTGATCCCTTGGAGTGATGCCCATATTTCTGACAAAGAAAAGAAAATACTGCGTTGTAATTTCCAGCTGCTATTGTTCAGCATCCATTATGAAAATTGTTCTTTATTGTCTAATATTTGTTTCATTGTCTATAAAATAGAAGAAAATCACCACCTTTTCCAGTTGCAACCACTCATCCAAGACATCACTTGCAAAGTTGAAGTATTTGGGTAGTTCCTTTTCACACCGGTTTACAGAGTCATAATATGAAATAATCCGGGATGTAAGAAGCCTGTTACATCCATGGAAAAGTCTGGAAGGCGACCTCAGAATCTGCAGGCACTGAGGAATCCGGGATATCATAAATGTCCTCATGATAAACGAAGATTTTTCGGGCAGTGGGAAAAAAATCCAGATGAACACTTACAGGGATCAGACATCTGCAGTGAAAGAAACTGTGTTTAGAAGCAGCCAGATATTTTTTTGTCCGTCTTTGATCTCTAATTTTTCAGCTCATGAATGAATCCCATATCTCTTGACTCTTCTGAGTTTTGGTCGCAGAAATGAAATGGTCTAGTGCTCAAAGTTAGAAAATGCGTTGAGCTCAGGACACTTTGTATATTAGATTGATACCAACTATGATATCTATGATACAATTCTATGATTCAGGACTGTGAAATTACGTTATGTCTTACATGCACACTAGGTGGCGATTCTCCACACCAAATAATTCACCTATAAAACTGAGTATCTTTTTCCTTGCGAGTTCTGATTTTGCTGGGGGCATGGAATAAACTCAAACAGTGTGCAGGCAAATGTGAAATTCCAAAATCTTCCATTTCTTCTTCCCTTAATCTGAAAGTGCATCACGATTTACACATTGTAAAACATATGAAGAAAATTCCATCACTTCTGTCCTACACAACACACAGGCACATGCAGTTATTTACAGCCCAGCTTGGGAATTCAAAAAAATTGGCTTTTCTTTACTCATAGATGCAGAACCACCTGATTAAATTTATGAGCTTAGTCAAATCCCTAAGGATCTAGTGACCTCATTAAATCTCAGGGAACCTTAGATTTCATATCATTCTCCTCTTATTCCAGTTTCCCTCCTGGAGATTAGAAGCCCTTTTCAAATTTGTGCTTATTCCCCTGTAGAAGATTTTCAGAAGAGATTTGATCTGATTGCTGTTTGTTTCAGTGGCAGACAGGGAAAAACTGGTTCTATAAGCAGATGCCTTTGTCATCCCACCTGTGCTCTGGGAACATTAGGTTCGGGTAGCTTACAACAGGGTATGTTCAGATCAAATAGGTCTTGTTCCTTTTCCCCTGTTATTCTGAAAGATGATTTTTACCCTCTTAGGACAATACTTGCAAGACAGCTTTGGAAAAGAGATGAATAACAGATGTTTTTTCTGTTACTGAAGAGAAAACAACCACAAAGTCAAACAGGAGACTCTTATCTTCCTGCTTTTTTTCTTCCTTCCCTTTAGAACCTGATTGCTGTGTCTGTATTTACGTGTGATCTTATCTTGAAAGCAGCCTGAGTATACAGCTCTCTGATTTCATTAGTCAGCCTGAACAAGTGCTAATCAGACACGTCTCAAGGTGCATTACAACCCAAAGCCTTTGAGATTTACAAGGAAGAGTTCACTTGAAACCAAGCCTTCATCACACCAGGTATGAAAACAACCTAAACTGAAGCAATCTGTCAACTCCAAGAAGTGGAGACTAGCACATCAACCACAATCAAGATCACCAACCACTTTTGAGAAGTACCCTCCTAATAGTAAATTTTTCATCCTTTAGCTTAAGAGCATGAAAGAGTGAAGCTACACTTTTATCTCTTCAAGAGAAACATTTCTTTCACTGTTAGCTTGGTTCTTCTGAACTGGACAGATCCATCCTCAAGTCATCTCTGTCCTTGCTTTCTGACCATACCTCTAGAGACATTGCACCTTTGGGTGTACTCTTTAGGCTACAACTTTCAACATGGTTTAAGGATTGTAAGTGTTCCTACTACCGTTAGAGACTGGCAAATATTTTGGCTTCAGAGTTCACACTTGAAAGCTATCCAGTAGTTGAAAGGAAACATTTGGAGCCTTCAGTTACTGTACAGACACTAGCTAACAAATTTGGGTCACAAGCTGTTCACATTGCATGAAATCGTTCTATAGCTGGGAATCAACAGCAATATGCTCTGGTTTAACCTACAAAGTAGGTATCTTTCTTGAGCTACAACATGGTACTTAATCAGAGAGCTTACCCTGAATCAATCTGCAGGATGTAGCTTTGCAAGCACAGCAGACAAACAGGTATTAACCAGAGGAACAGCTATCATCTAATTTTCCTAGTGCTTGCCCAGGGGGGCTGTGGATGCTCCATTCCTGGAGTTGTTCAAGGTCAGGTTGGATGGGGCTCTGGGCAATCTGATTTAGCACTTGATCAATAGCTTGGCATCCCTGCCCATGGCAGGGGATTGATGGTCTTTGAGGTCCCTTCCAAGCAAAGCCATTCTAAAGTTCTAAGATTCTATGATCCTATGATTCTAGTTACCTCACTGTCCTCTCTGTAGCTCTGTGCTGGGTTACGGCCACAATAGCATGATGTCAAATTGACTTATGCTTCAGAGGCATGTTTCCCCTCCTGTGCTCTCCACCTTCTCTCCAGGGTTCTTATTACTTACAGCAACTGTCTACCTATTATCACCACAGAAACTGTTTTTCCAAACACTGTTAGAGATGGGGAAGTAATTACGTTAACCTTCCAGTGGAAAGGTGCATTTGGCTCCACTGGTGGTAAATTTAACAACCTTATCAGCTTCTAAGTTCAGCTGATAAAACAGCAGCCATCTGAGCAGCAAATACTGCTGCTTAGTGCTCCTTTTCTCCTTTCTTTTTGGTCACCCAATAAAGGCAGGACAAGATGAAGACGCATCAGTTCTTTCTGCCATTGTTATTTCTCTCAGGTTTCCTGGATGTAGAGAGCATAAGCCCAAATGAAAGAAAGCTAAGGAAAGCCAAACTCCCTAAAATAAGAAAGGAGAACAGCGTACTCTTGCTGAAAAAGAACAACTTTGACAGAGCATTGAAGGAAACGAAGTACCTGCTGGTGGAGTTCTGTGAGTATCAGCTTTTGTCTGTGTCTTATCCTGAAGCTCTGCAGAGCACGGCTGATGCTGGAGCACGAAGGTATGCCTGTTCTACTGTTGCTTTGTCCTCCGACAGCCCTTCTTCTATGTCCACCATGTCTCTATTTCTGACAATAACTACAATCACTGATTCCTTTTTGGAGTATTTGAGCACTGGCTCACTCCATAAAACTGATACTAAGAAAGGTTTACATGTGTGCAGCTCCAACTTTGCATTCCCTGCTTCCACTGCCTAATCTTGCAAGTGTGTTTCACAGCGATGATGAGTGAAACTGTATTCAAAAATCAGAGAGGGCTTTCCTCTCTCTTACGTTTTCATGTACGAGATTTATGCCAGATGGCATCTCTCCTCTGTAAGTGTGTGGGCTTCAGGGAATGGCTCAGTACATTATTTTAGTGCCTGTAACTGCATGATATGGGTTTGCAATACTCTCCCTGAAATCGCTAGATTAGGTGCACTAGATTAGGTGGAGGCAGGCTTGTGGTTTTTCTATTACGTTCCTGCTCATTCCTCATGGGGAGCAACTCATTTTGTGAGTTCAGAGGCCTGGCATTGCAAGAAGTAAATAACAAAAGCAAAAGCCAAAGAACAGTCTTGTGAGTGCACCCACCTAAAAGCTCAGACTGCATAACTTCCCCCTCCACATGGGGGGTTTTTTGAACAGCTTGCTGGTAGCACAAATTCTTACTGCCAGAGCAAAACTCCTTCAAGAGGCTGCATGTTACAGTTCATGCCTGCAAACCTGAGGATGCCATTTCATGTTCAAAAGGTCCTTCTCACTTTCATTGCCAGTGGCCACAATGAAGTGTAGGACTTAAAAAGGGCTATGCAAAAATCACTCATAGTGAAGCTGCAGAAGCCCTATGGATAGCATTGATCTTTCCAATGTGTTTTACTAGCTCGCTTCATACAACCTATCAGCAAGCCCAGTCCCATGGAGCAGTGCTCATCCCACTCCTTCTCTACTTCATCACTGACATTCATGTTGAATTTTAACAAATGTGGTTATGATTCCATGCCTGCATACCTTGTGCTTAGTGCTCTGCCGGACCAGAAATGATCATTCAGACTGCAGCAGGATGGAAATAATGCGTGGAGACACAGCGCATTTCATATTAAACACCACGCATTATGTGGTGCAGAGAGGAGTTACAGCAGAGATAAAGGAGTCCTATAAGAGATTGCAGTGTAAATAAAAATGCTGTAAATCACCAAGTAGAGACAGTTCAACCAAACAAGCAGGGGAAGATACTACATAAGATAGGAACTTTTTCCTGATAAGCTTTCTACGGGAGTGTCTAACTTAGACAATGGACTTTTCAATCTGTGTAAAACAACAAAAGCTTTGTCTCTGTTCCCTGAGCCTGACATTGCTTCACCCTGCTATCAGTTGTGCTGCACTCACTGAGCTCAGCTTTAAATTACACACTTTGCAGGCTCGCTCTGCTCTGAAGGCAGGTAGGCATTAAGCACAAGATGCAAATCCCAGATCTATCCTGAGTTGAAGTTGAAGCAATATCCTAACTTTACAGAAGCAGATGTGATGAATTAATGAAACTAAAAATAACTTTGGGTCATACTGAACATTTCATTAATCCTCAAACTGTTACAAAACCTAGCATACTTCTTAAACTTTGAGAGCAATCACTTTAGAAATTAATTTTAAAAATTACAAGACATTTGAAATGTTGAAATTTAGCAAGAATGTGTATGTGTTTTTGTTGTTTGTTGAGGATTTACAGCTACTTGTCAAATTCACCCTGCAGTTGTGAATTGCTTTGGTTCCCTCTGAAGATGTGATACTTGGGTGAAAAAATACTGTATCAGAAAAACCCTATTCAAGCACTATTCTCAGCCTTTTTTAAGAGCTGATTCAAAGCACTGAACATCCGGACTGGGAGGAGTTTGTAGCCAAGCCTCCTTGCTGCTGGCAGAGCTGATCATCACCTATGTTCTGCAACATATTTCAGGATTTCAACCTAATACCAAATGGGAAGAAGACGTGTAAAGTTCCAGGAAAAATGAGAGATGGATAAAGAATTGTTCAGAATAGTAGCTCAGAGACTAAGGCACTCACAGCATGTAGGAGACCTAAACCAGGATCTCCTGCTCCTACTTCAGAGAAGTCTTGTCCCTCCATCTGATACTCCACCACTCACAAATGGATTTCTTCAGAACCACAGGACGAACACACCATGTCCTTGCACTCTGCACCTTTGGATGAAGTCAGAGAGGAAGCACTGCTCCCCTACCACATCTTCACCAGTGAGCCTCACTGCATTCTGGTTTGGATTCAAGGTCACTGCATCTATCTGAAAGGCTTACTATGGACTGCCTTTCTTCCTACAAATCAGAATGACATCTACAGAGACTTGTAAAATCATTCAGACTGAGTTCCTCAGCCAAGACACATTACCTGTAAGTCTTCAGCCTCAGTCCCAGCAGGTCCCTTTGGAGACGATGGTACTAACTAGCCTTTGAGACAGTGAAAATGCATCCTGCCCTGCAGCACTGGCCCAGGATGTGGGAAACATGAGCCTATACTGGTTCACATCTGGTTCATTTACTAGAATTTGCTTTGCCTTGGAATGAAAAGGATAAAGATCAGACAAGCACAGAGAGCCTTATTCCTTAAAATAGGCTAAGTAAACTGTGTGAACATGAAACTACTCTGGGAATTGAGGTAATGAGAGACAGAGCAATATTCCCACATAGGAATAGAAATCCAGAACGAATGCAAGACCTGAGATTCTTCTCAACCCTTTCTCAATCATGGCAATGCAGTGAGAGAATGCAAAGGAATCCCATATACCCCAGAAAGTGGACATGATCAAGAAGGAGAAAAGTGTAAGCTGCAAATTTGGATTTAATGCTCTAGGATCTGCCTTACATTTGTTTGTATTGAGAAAATCTCAACCCTTTCCCTGCAGTATCTACTTACCAGTGGCAGAATATTCAGTGAAGAAAGGCCTGCTTTGACATCTTCTGCCCAGTGACTCCCAGGCCCTCCTGGTGCGTCCTGCAGTTCCACCCTCACTTTGTCACAGCTCTGTCTTCCTTCAGGCAAGATTTAATATAAAAACATCTGCTGATTGTCTGCCGTGCAGTGCAGTACCCTAATGAGCCGAGCAAAGTGCACTGGGCACATTCCCGTTATGGAAACAAAGTAATGATCCAGAAATCCAACATTCTTCTGCCTTCATCCTTATCTGCTTTCTGCAATGAGAAAATAGCTGAAGAGGCAGCACAAAGGAAGTGGGGGAGGGCAGCAGAACAGAGAGGCCAGTTTCTGTTTGCTTTTTTTTTTCTTTTTTTTTTTTGTGAAAAAAACAGTGAATGATGTCTGAAAACAGCACAAGCAGCACATGGCATTGTGCCCGTTCTCTTATCTGAATTATATGTCCTGATTGTGCTAGGGGCACTCAGTTTCAAAGTCCACATGAATGGTCCTCATTCTGCTGCAGTCTGCAGCTTTGCCATTAGTGTTAAACTGATCTAAGTGTCACTCACATGCATGCTAGCATAGAGAACATAGTGCTCCTGCCACCAAGACATGGTAGATCTTACATGAGTGTTGCTTGCATGGGAGAGTTTTGTTATTTACACTTTGTGTTAACTGAATACAAACCCCTGTGGTGAAGTGCATCGCAGGATATTGTTGCTTTCAAGTTTTATCCTCAAAAACAAGATAATCAACAAAAAAGCCCAAGCACTTCAGCGACAATTAAGCACCACAGGGAGGATGAAATGTGTCCACTTATAAACACAAACACTCCAAGTACTACTGCAAACAGCCGCCAACCGTGACCACTTTCAGTCATGTATTAACTTAGTCCCCACAGACTTCTCCAGGCTAAAATCTCCCAGTGTTTTTCCATGTGAGAGGCATTCCAGCTCTCTGATGATTTTCATGGCTGTCCTGCTCTAACAGCTCCATGTCTTTCTGATGCTGGGGACCCCAGTGCTGGATGCAGGACTTCAGGTGGGATCTCACAGGAGTGGAGCAGTATGGGGCAGTCGCATACCTCCATCTGCTGTCACACTTTTGGTGCAATCTTGGCTACAATTGGCTTTCTGGGCTGGAAAAGCACATTACTGGTTTGAATCCCATTTTTCATCTCCAAGTTCTCTGCAGAGTTGCTCTCAGTCAATTTTTCTTCCAGACGTTGACAACACCGAGGATTGCCTTGACCCAGCGCAGGACCCTGCACTTAGCCTTAGCTTCATGAAGTCCACGTGGGCCTATTTCTAAAGCCTGTCAGGGTCCCTCTGTGCAGCAGTTGTCACTAGTTTTCCTATCTTATTTATCTGGGTGGTAACATTTTCATTGTCTTTTTATAACCTATGGACAAACACACAAGCGGTGGATTTGTGCACTGCACTGCTACTTTGCTCTCCAAGCACATTTCCACCCATTAAAAAAATATATAAAAGAAACATTTACCTTTTCTAGCAGATCTGTGCATGCAGTGAGCCACCAGATCAGCCATAGGATTCCTGCAGCCTGTGACTGGCAATCAGTGCTGGGCTGATGACATTTAATAGGCAAGATAGCGTGACAAAGACATTTACCTCCTTCCCAAGGCATGAAAGCAGAAGGTGACGTTTCTGAAACAAATGGGAAACTGCTGACTGTGCATATGTGAGAAAGGAGACTTCCATGCAGTGAAGGGAGCATGACTAATTTTAAATCAGTGTGTCAGCTCACTCGTAAAGCCAAAATCCAAAGCACATTCACTCGTGTGCTAGGAGCTGCTTCCAGCTATGCAGAAATCTGCTCACTACATAGAGAATGGGAACAGTTCAAAAACACCCCCAAACATGTATATCTGACAACTAAGCTCCATACAGGAACCTAATGCAGCATGAGGGAGTGTGGGATGTGGGCGCCTTGCTCATGTAGGCTTTGCTGGAAATCTGTCTCAGTCCTTAAGAGTACACTATCTGAAACAGATTTATTGATTTATTGATTTATTTGTAAAATATGCTTTTAAAAGGGAGCTCGATGGTGAAAGTGCATGTCCAGGCAGCTACAAGCATCACTGGAATCACTAGGTGATATTCTAGTTCCTGGACAGTCCTATTGATTAGCATCAATCCCTTATCTAGATGCCCTTATGCATGCTTTTTATTAACTGAACATTCTGTAGAAGGGTCCAAACTCTTGAATAATCTTCAGTGTTTGCACAGCAGAAGACCTCAACTGAACTGCAAACTGCAAACATTAAATTAGCTCAGATTCAAAGTACAGAAGTCAACACAGGAGATAATGGGCTGTATTTTGCACAGTAGAATAGAATGGGAACACTTTCAAGGTCACATACGAAAACGTGCATTTGCAGGAAGATCAATACCTTGCTTTTCTCGCTTCCAGTCTAATATGTTAAACAGGAAACCATTCTTCTACACAGAAAATTATATATCGTTAGTGAAAACTGTAAAAGCAGACTACACAGGAAAGAGGAAAAGTAGGAGTCCTGAAGTGACTTTCTAACCACGTCAGGAACTAACAGCTAAGAAATCAGTTTTTAGCATGACAACAGGCATATTCACAGTGTCTGCAGCAATCAGTATAGACTGCCCAATGAAACTGGAGGCCATTAGCAATTAGGTAAAGGAAAGAGGAACTCATCATACTTCCATGTACTGTCACTTAAAGGAAGCTTTAGGGACATGAGAGAGGTGTACATATCAGCAAAAAGTATCTCTGCCCACATTGCAGTATATAGTAGCTGGCTATATGAAGCAAAGTAGTTGCTTATTCAGGTCATCCATGTGTTCAAAATACAAAATTTCTGGTGCTTTTCCCACTTTTAACATATCCATTTGGCAAGGCTTTGGGTAAAACATACTCTGGCATTCTCTCTGGGACTCTGTGCACTGTGATGAGGTTCTGTTTTTAATCCTTATGCAGCAATATTTCTGGGAAGCAGGTTCCTCACTTCTTGCACCGAACAAGAGTGCTAGTGGCTTGAGTTATAAAAGTGGAAAATATGACAAATCTCCCCCACGCAGCACCTTTCCTCTGGGGAATGAGGATATATATAACATCTGTTCCTTCTGACCTTTTTAGAGGAAGGTTTTGTTATAGAAGTTCTTAAAATAAAGGAAACTGTAGTCATCAGAAAAAAAGAGATGCTGTTCTTCAGCACTTGCTGTCTGGGTAAACTTGCTGCAGAAATGGTGTTATGGACTCTCCCCTGTGAATAAGTGTCCTGCAGGCACACTTCACAGAATAGCCATGGCTGTTTGAGAGTGGGTTCAGGTCATTAGGTGATAAGGGATCATTCTTTAAACAAAATACATCTTTGAAGTTGAAATATTTCACAGAAAAAATGGATCCTAAAGTCCCCCAGACGATCTACATATATATGTAATGCCCATATTGCTTATTGATACCTGCATACCTGGGAAGCCTCCAGGCATCTTCAGCTTCTCTGTCTGGAATATACCAACAATTTATTTTGCCCCTTTTTAAGAGAGTTCCACTTCACATGCAACAAGCTTCTGATCTTCCGGATTCCCAACTGTGGTAAAAGATCTGTGCAACCTTATTTTATTAGGGAAAAAAAAAAAGTTGCTATATTGAAATTGAATCATAGAATCCCAGAATGGCCTGGGTTGCAAAGGAGCACAATGCTCATCCAGTTCCAACCCCCTGCTGTGTGCAGGTCGCCAACCAGCAGCCCAGGCTGCCCAGAGCCACATCCAGCCTGGCCTTGAATGCTTCCAGAGATGGGGCATCCACAGCCTCCTTGGGCAGCCTGTTCCAGTGCCTCACCACCCTCTGAGTGAAATTGCTTCTGGTGTAAACCACTGCCTTGGAATTAGCCAGAAAGTACTGGATCCCTAACCACCAACATGTGACTTCTACTCGTTATTCCAAGTCCAGAGCAACACATCGTAGAAAGCCCAACATCTCTGCCTAATGGATCTGGGCTCACCCTGTCCACATGCAGTCATTACATATCAGCACTCAACAGCACAGCAAACACGCTGTGTTTTAATAAAGACTCCATGCATCTCTAATCATTTTAAGTAATGATATTTCATAAAGGCTCAACAAACATGCTCTCGAGAAACAGCAGTGTTTTTGTATGGTAGATATGCCATGTCTCCCGTTGACAGAGCAGAACTTCCATTAGTTCTTCTGCAGTTTCTTCTAGATGGGTTGAACTCAGCCAAGACAGATAGTACTGTGGTGTTTTTTATGCTGGGAGACGGCGTGCTGCACATTTATGGGGGAAATGTTAGCAAGAGCATCTTTATAATTACAAGAAAGGAAACTGAAGTTACAATTAAATCAGAAAATCTCTGTAAAGTGGCAATGAAATTAGTTGATGAACTACAACTGCCATTGGAGCTAGCCGAGGGTTGGCACACGGCACACACAGACACCTGTTATTTTAGAACCACTATCAGTCTGTAAGAGCATATTCTCTCCTTCCATATCTTATTTGAAGAAAGTTTCTGAATTACACAAGTTTATCCCAACGAAGTGCTTTCACATGTAGCATCTTACAAAGAGTCTCGATGTGAGTACAAACTCTACCCTTGAACTCCCTTTAGAATCTTTAGAATCAGGATATTCTGTTGAACTTGCTTTTTTACTCTAAGTCATTTCTTGCCAACAGAAGACTATTGCAGTCCTGTTGATTATTCACTCTGACTTGTCCAAGTACTCATGTAGCCTTGAACAATCAGAATCAACACAAAGAAAGAAGAACTAAAGATAATTTCTCACTTACTTGAGTCATAAATGGCCTTTATCCAACCCCTCCAGCTACTATTTGACATGATAATTTCTGCTGCAAAACTTCACACTGGAGCCTGTGTAACCCATTCTCTTTTGACTGACCCTTTCCAGATGTTTCTTTATCTCAAGCATCTCAGAATGTGTCGAAAGAATTTGCTGAGGCTGCGCGACTGCTTAAGAAAGAAGCTCCAAGAATCCAGTTTGGCAAAATAGATGTCACAGATCAATTTGATTTGAGAAAAGAATTTAATATTCAAGAGTTTCCTACCGTGAAATTTTTTGTGGATGGCATCAGGGAGGCCCCTATAGACTGCAAAGGTAAATTATCTTCTGCACTGTTAATGACAGGATGTGCTGACCTATTTTGCTGCCAACGATAAAAGTATGGATGCTCAGATACAGTCTACGCAAACTCTTTGTGCCCATGGTGTTAAATGTGCAATTAACTCTGTATCTATACAAGAATTTTGATTTTAATTGGTCTTCTATGTTTATAACTGAATATGCTTCTCTCTACTGAGTTCACACAGCCAAGCTCACAGCTGGCATAATTCTGAGGACATAGAAACACACCCAAAATGACACACTCCCACACACTACAAACAAACAAAAAAAATCCCCATAAATAAAAGTTACACCAAACAAGAACTGGATCCCAAACCCACTTGTTTGCACTTCTGCTGGCTCACTGCAACTTCCACAGGTACTGTCCCTGCAGCAGGATGCATTTAACAGCAAATTCTGAACAAAGCTGAAGAAAAGAATTTGACAGTGCAGCCATGAGAGGGAGCTCATACATGGCTCAGAAAAGAAATTATGGAATAATTTCAAATCTTTTGGGGAAAGTTATTCAGCAAAAACAACAATATTGCAAGAGTACGAATGAGCAATCCTTGGAAATCCAGGCCTTCTTAGAGTTTTTCTTCCAACAGAAGTGCAGACAAGTAAGTCCTTTTCCTCTCCTCTCCTCTCCTCTCCTCTCCTCTC